CCTCCCTCTCTCTCTATCTCTCTTTCTTTCTCTCTCTCTCTCTCTCGTATCAACAAATGGAACAAAACTCTCTCTCTCTCTCTGGGCGTCGTTCGACACACCTTGGGGACGTGATTTCAAGGATTTCATCTTCGTTCCACCTGTCCTCGGAGCCGATTTTCGAAACCGAAATGTGAAAACACTCCGAGGACAAATCCTCGGGCTCCGAGGATTTTTTAGCCAGATTGTCCTTGGGCTCCAAGGGACCTCGCGAGGTCCCTCGGAGTCTGAGGATCCGCGATAATCGGGGTGTCGGCGGCGAGTCCAAAAGGGAAATTGGTGGTCGGAGGTGGTCCAGTGCTGGTCCTCCGTGTTGAAGACGGACATCGCGACGCGCCAACGTCCAAAACGTCCACGAACGGCCTCGTCTTGTTACCGTTGTCGGGGATTGGCGGTACGTCCCTTTCGGTTCGTCGGGCGGCCCCACGACGGTGCCGTGCCGGGCATCGGACGTTTTCGGGCGGGTCGTGGAGGTGTCGTAGCGTTCCCGCGGGCTGCCCAACGGTCGTAAACACGAATTTCTTTAACCGTCCACCCCCGCCCGGTGGCTGCAGCAATTTCGTACGTTGTCGTCTTCCCTCGTACAACGTGTGTCTCCGGGCACCGCGATCGCGACAGCCAAGTGCGTCCCCTCTCCTTCATGGCTGACGTGTGCCGCAGGCTGCCTTTATTGATACTTGTCGCTATACTGCTGCTTGTCGTTGTCGTCTTTCATATCTGCATCCTCGGTCGCGTCCATGGGAGGAAACATAGGCGCCGAACGACGAAGGAGACCGGGAAGATGGAGAAGGTGCAGACGAAGAGGACGATGTCCGTAGGGGCTGGTGGGTCGTCACGTCAGCGTTGCAGCTCTGCGGAAGGCGGCAGAAGCCCGTACGACCCGACGCTGTACAGCCACCTGCCGTCCCACGAGATTCCATTGCCTCCGAGTGACGACGACAGCGACGAGCCCCGATCATCAACGGTTCCTCTGGGCAGTGGTTCGACGCAGGATTGGATGGGGAGCCAGCTGTACAGACAGACGCCGACGTACACTGATCTGCTAGAGGGGCGGACCCCGGTTGGTTATGACGGAGGGCTTGTAGATCTCAGCTTCGGTTTGAGGTCTGGGAGTGGCCAGGACGTCACGCACACCGTTCTCGTGAACCCGGGTTCTGCCAGCAACCACACAGCGCCTTCGGTGGGGCCGTGTGGCCTTCCTGACACCCGCGGCCGGGGTTCTGGTCATTCGGGCGACGAACGTGGACTCGTTTCGCGAGGGCGGACGGCAGTGGGCACAACAGGTGTTCGTGCGGAGGGGACGAGGACAGGTGGATCGACAACGGCAGGCGGCGCAGTCCACCGAGGAGGGGATGACGCTGACGGCTACGCTGCGGAGGTTGCGGGGCAAGAGGTTTGGGATGATTACCTGCGACAATCGCGACAATCTAGCACGTCCGCCATAACGAGAGGGGTGACGAAGATCAATGTACGGGCGGACGACACACCCGGCGATTGCGATGGTGCGGGTGGTGAAGATTTGTCGGCAGGCAACGGGGGCAACGACAACGACGACGACGACAACGGGGAGATGGAGATTCGTCCTCTGGGGAAGAAACGGGGAGGGCCGAGGGCGACGAGCAAGTCCAGCGAGCCGCGCGCGGGGCGGAGAGGCAAGAAGACTGCGGGAGATGCATCGGCAGGCGACGGAGCGAAAAGCAGGGATTTTTGGACCGTGGAACTGATGATTGCTCTTGTCAGAGCTAAAAGAGACCAGGATTTGCATCTTGCTGGCCTCGGGCACAACATGGGAAGGATGAAGACGAAGACATGGAAGTGGGCCGACATCGAGAGCAGGCTCGTGCAGATGGGGGTGACGACTAGAAAGGCCGATGACTGCGGAAAAAAATGGGACAACCTGTACATGCAGTTCAAAATTGTGCACAAGTTCATGGGAGAATCGGGGAAGCCTGATTTCTTCTCACTGGCGCCGCGGGAGAGAAAGGAGCGGGGGTTCGATTTTCGGATTGACGAGCATGTGTATTCGAAGATGATGGCCATGTCCAAGGGCGATCACACTATACACCCCACGAATCTGGCGGACACGGGTGCGGCGGGAGGTGTTCAACTACCAAGTCGAACTGGAGGTCGGAACGAATCAGGCGGTAGTGACGGATGCGGTGATGGGCAGGACGACGATCAAGGATCGACGAGGAATTCAAGTTTCAGCGGCAGTGCTGTGGGCGGGTGCGGCAAAAGGAAGAATGTGAGACAACAGACCTTCGACACGATTGAGGACGTCATGAATGTCAGGGGCGCCTCAACCATGGATAAAGGAATGGGCGGCAGGGTGTTTTTTTTTTTTTTTTTTTTGGGTGGGAGGGGACAACGGAGGACAGGGGCGCCTCAATCATGGACGTCCTGTGTGATTTTGTGGGGGTGGCGGGCGACGGAAGCGTGTCGGGGTCTTTGGACCTCCACCATGATCCTCCTGCGCGCCCACACGCGTTGTTGGCCATACGACGGATCACCACAAGCCTTCGGGAAAAAAACGGTCCGTGTACGATCGTCCAGGGGGCGGGCTGTTGTGGACGGCGTGGCGTGTACACGGTGTGCGGCGTTGGTGCACCGCGTTGAAAAGGAGATTGCGGGCCGCAGTCCGTACGGCAGTACTCCATTGTCCACGTCTCCGACGGTGTCGTCTGATCACTGATTCCTCGCCGCAAGCCAGCACTTCCCGCCCTTTGCGCCTCCACTCTCAAGCTTTGTGCACCGCGTGCAGTCCCCCCTCACGCGCCGCAATCACGTGCTCTTTTTTCTGTGGCCATAATCGTCGCGGCTCCTGCCGACCACGACTGCGCATCGTCCACGTGCTCCTTCGTCGACGTGGCCGTCGTCGATCTCCAAGCGTCGTACTTCCACGTGCTCCTTCGTCCACGTGTTCGTCGTTGCGGAGTTGCGGACGACATGGCCCCGAGGAACGCATCAGCGAAGACCAGGCAAAATAGCGGGGCGGGCGACGAGGGGGAAACCAAGAGAGGCAGAGGGCACATCCCTAAGCCGAAAAGGCAGCACGTTGAAGAGTCGAGCTCCGAGCACACTGCAGACTTCCAGCCAGAAGAAGTGGTGATGGTGGACGTGCAAGGCACTTTAGCGGCGCCGCGATTGGGTTTCGGGCGAGATGGGTTGACGAGGGAACAGGTGTCCGCTGTGAAGCAAAGCATTGTTGTTGGTGTTGCCGGGGCGTCGCAAAGGACCCCGAAGGCGGCAGGGGTTGTCATAACGGAGGTGCGCGTCCCGAGGTAACTTCCCTCGGCGACGGGGCAGGGCCAACCACGTCAGCCACTTCCACTGGAACGGCTGGGGGCTTCAGGGCGGGGGAAAGCACAACCCGCTCAAAAGGGCGATGCAACGACGATCGGCACGCAGACGGTGGCGGCGGATCGCAGTGGTAGAACCGGAGTCGTCGAAGGTGCGGGCGAGGAGAGGGTAGACGACGTCCGCCACGACGAGGGAAGAAGAGACGAGAAGCGAGAGGGCGACGACGACGACGACCGTCCACTTGTGACGAGGTTGAAGGGAGCCGCAAAGGAGGATGATCTGGAGGAAAGATCGAAGTTGTGGGTTGATTGCGACTCTTTCTGGGGTCAGGGACCGGGGAAACCCTTGAGGGAGGCGGTTAGGGAGTGTGCAGACTACTTCATCGCAATCGCCAACAGAGACGCGGGAGCAAAACCGCCTGTGATGCTCATACTGCCGCCGAACGACGTGGCGCGCTTCAAGATCGACGACCCTGCGCAGCGTGAACGGGCTCTGCGCAGAGCGCGCAATGTCGAGAAACTGGTGTTGCGCGCCATCCACGGCTAGATCTTCAAATCGTCGTCGCGGTCGGCTGGATTCGCTCGTGCAGAGTCGTACATTAGTGTCGACATTGCCACAGACGTCGCACGAGCAGTTTGGCAGGGGCAGGAATGGCCGAACGTGGTGTCCCCTGCACTCGTGTACCACACTCTGGCGCTGAAGATGGATGTGCCTCTGTGGTTCACGGGGGTGAAGATTGTGGATCGGCCAGAGGACGACGACATGGCGGCGCGGCAGGAGGAGACAGTTCTTCGCATCGCGGACTGCTAGACAGACGCACTGTGGTGTGGACAATGGGCGGACGGCGGGCGCGTGAAACAGGAGAGGTTGTCTAGGCTTGCGGACTGCCTTCGAGCGTTGTTGAGCGCGTGCATGTGGATCATGCGCATGGGTGGTGACGACGACCGTTCGCACTACGAGGCGTGCCTTTACTCGTCCCTGGTCGCCAAACCGACAATGATAGCGGCCGGGTCGTACATCTTCAACTGGCGGCGACACATCGTCGACAGCGCGAACCTCGTCTTGGATCGTATAGGGAAGGCTCACCTCACGCTGGGAGAATACCCGCACTGCATTCCGGAATGGTGTGACTGCGGGTTGGTGTTCGGCCACAACGCGGCCCTGAAGAACGAGGCGGAAGCCGCGAAACACGGATGGATTGGCAGGGGGCCTGCGGCGGTTGATACGTGGGTGCGTCCGTGGCGCAGCGTCAAGGTGCGGTCGAGGCGACTCGAACGGCGTCTGGTATCGAGTGTCGTCATGTATAGGTCAGGTTGCAGTCGTAGTTGTGCATGTGTAGTGAAGGATGCTTTCGTTTATTTTGTGTCATTATTAGGTGATTGGAGCGAGCTTGGTACGCTTGCTCCGCCGCAGGGTTAATTGGGTCGGCGGACTGCTCCGCCGAAATGTGCGTAGACGGCAGGACCAGTTGGTGTGTAGTGCGGAACGCTAGAAGTGTCGATAGTCAGATAGAAGGGGGAATCATCGCCGATGCGATTGATTATATGCAATATGAACTCAGTGAAATATGTGTTGCTTTTTCCATGTCTTGTGTTTGCATACAAAAGATTGCGCACGGAGTCATGTCGTCGTTGTCTTCTGTGTGGTTTTATCACATGACGCACGCGTGAATGGCCATCGCATCGTCGTCCGCATCTTCTTGTGTATGAGCCCGTGTGTTTTCCATTCCAACTGTCGCGGCATCGTTGTCATCGTCGTGAACTTAACAAAGAAAAGAAATAAAAGGATTGTGTCTTCGTTGCACGGTTGCATGATGAGCACATCAGTCGTGATATCATCTTTCTTTTCGTTGTCGATGCATGTCAGTCGTGATTCACAAACGCGATGCACGTCATTCGTCAATGCAAAAAACGAAGTAGAAGAGCTTTTCGGAAAAAAACGGAGACAAGCAGAGACGACATGCACAACACACGTTCCATGCACCGCAAAAAAATAAATAAATAAATAAAATAAATAAATAAAATAAAATAAAAAAAATAAAAAACAATATAAAAAAAAGAACATCCCTCGAAAGAATAGCAGCAGTTGGGTACGCCGAAAAATCCATTGCCAAACATCATTAAAAAAATGCACCATTCTAAAGTTCTAAAAAAAAAAGGTGCGTGAAGCGCATGCGAAACAGCGGGCTCACGAACCTCTTCCTGCAAACCCTTGACTATGACTCCCGTCTACGACAAACCCACCCCCCGCCCACCACATCACCCACCCCCCCCGAACCCCCATCAAACAAGGACCGAATCCATCGACGACTCCAAGTTATTGCGCGGGAAAACAAACTTTTCGGCCACTAGGACAATGAAGAGTCGAAATACGAAAAGACGAACGCAGAGGACGAGTACTACATCAGCAATCTCATCGCACTTCCGCTGCGCGACGGACTGGACCTATACAACGTCGTCGAATACAAGAACAAACACCTGAAAAGAATCTGACCGCGATGGCACGACTTCAACGGGACGAACAGGTAGGCGGCTGGGTGGATCAAACGTGTTTCATTCGCTGCGCCAGTGCATTGTGGAGCGCATGAGCCTCGCGCATCGAAGTCAACATGGACACTGGCCGCGGAGGGCGATGAATCCCCAGGTCCACTCACCGCCTCACCCCGTTCACGTCTACCTCCCACAACAAATTGTCGTCGAACTCGATTCCTGCATCAAGCAGGATGTTGTGGAGAATGCATACCGCCGTGAACTGCTGCGACAGACTCTCGAGGTTCGTCTTGTGCGTCCACAGGAAGAGCCTCCACATCCCTTTCAACCTCCCGAATGCCCTCTCCACGGCCCCGCTTGCGACCTTCTGTTTCGTGTCGAACCTTTCCTCGTCCGGGTGCTGATTGATTCCTCCGTACGGCACCACCACCCACTCAGAAGGAGGATACCCGTTGTCGCCCAAGATGTATCCGTTCGTCGTCACCCCTCCCGGCAGCGTCACATGCGGCCCACGAAACAACAATCCCTCTTCCGCGCGCCTCGACAGACTTGATAGCTGGATCACCCTAATGTCGTGGCAGCTACCCGGATATCCCACGAACACATCAAGGACGCGCAGATCCAGGTCCACCACAACATGCGCAATGACGGAAAAACGGTGCTCGCGGTCGAAGTAGTTTTCGCTAGGCGCGTTCGCCGTTTTGTCCACGTAGATGTATGTGCAGTCAACTGCGCCATGGCAATTTGGAAAGCCCTTGCCCAGAAAAGCCCGTAGGACGACTTGTTTCCGCACCCCCGTCGGCCATGATATCTTCTCCCCGTACACCCTCAAAATGGCGGCTGTCACATCGCGCACGGCTCGAACCCCGGAACTCCTGCCCATGCCGAAGGATGATGTGCTGTTATCGTAAGACTCTCGTGTGGCCCACCTATACAGCGCGTATGCGACGATCTGCTCCGGCTGCAGTGGCTCCCTGTAAAACGTCACCTGCCGCTGTACATGAGGCGCTGATGCTTCACTGATCTCCATGAATACTCTCCTCGACATGCGGAGCTTTTCCCGGAAGTAATCCTCTGTCGCGTCATCGCAAACCCGAACAACGGCAACCACAGCCGCCGCGACTGCTGTCTTCTCCGTCGTCGACAGCACAACAGGTCCATCGCCATCGCAACCGTCCATCACATCCCTCGTAGACAAAAAACGACGTCCACCGCCGCCCACCTCCGTGCACGTATGCCGCCACGTGTTGAAGATGCCTGCAACCACGTCAGGAAGACAGCCCGGCCCAACAACGCGATTCCGATTGGAGCGTCCACCCACCACCGCTGGCGTCCACCCACCGCCGCGGCGCTTGCACGTGGCGAACGCGACTAACGTCTTCGTTTCGTCGCGTCGACCACACTTGACGCACTGGCGGTGCAGCGCCGCTGAAATACGCAACCCGATGGCAAACGAAACCCTGGTCGGGCGTAGGCAGGCACGCACACTGACCTGCCCATGCGCAGCCACCACGTCGCTCCGCAACATCAAAATTCAAAATTCGAATTTCGAAAGGGGATTTTCCCGCGTTGGCGTTTTATTTTCCAAGGGCCCGTGACGTCTTCCCGCCGTCCGTGTTTTGGACCACCATCAGAGCTACACGGACATCCCGAATCGGAGGCCGGATATTCCTCTCGCGGCTGTGTATAATCTAATTAAACTGGCCGCGGGAGGGCCCCGAGGATTCGTCCTCGGGGCATTTCTCCGAGGACAGGTGGAACGACACCTCCGAAAATCAAAAATTGCTCCGAGGATTCGTCCTCGGAGCCCGAGGACGCGCTGAGGTGTGTCGAACGATGCCCTCTCTCTCTCTCTCTCTCTCTCTCTGGTAGCCACCCCCCTTGCTCTCTCTCTGTTTCTCTTCCTTTCTCTCTCTCACTCTCTGTTTCTCTCAAACTCGTAACACTAAACGGAACAAAACTCTCTCTCTCTCTCTCTCTCTTGTACGAGCTCTTAGTCTCATTGATTTGGCTACCTTAGGGCTGCGATCCCCGCGCCCACGCTGTAGACAATTCGAATAGAACCTACGTACGTTTTTTTGGGGTGAGAAGGTAGGCCTCGTCGACCAGGCTCGTCACGGGCCCGCAGTTGCCAATAGGACCCAAAAAAGCCACTAAGGGTGTACTCACACCAGTACTTATCTGACCGCATTGCTGCCGTAGTTGTCTGCATCTGGCCATGGTTCCGTCCGGAAACAAGCAAAAATAAAAAAGGTGCTAGTGTGAGTACACGAGTCAGGCGAGGAGTGTTGCAACACCCAGACGACCACGAGCCGCCCCGGTCGACTGACCAGGCCGGCGCGGTCGCCTCCCCACCCTTGGCTGTCAGTTGAGTCCAGTCCAGGCTTGTCGCAGAGGGACGACATTGGAACAGGGGACTCGGTTTTGTCAGTACGAATACGAACCGCGAGGCGGGGTCACGGAGAGGGTTATGGAGGCAATCGAGGAAGCCAAGATGCATCAGTACACGAGGGCACAAACTGGTAGGCGAGGCGGCAGGGGTAAATGACTGAAGAGATGGCGGGAGTGAACGACTGAAGAGAGTACACACGACTCGTAAGTAGCACGGAAACGAGTCGACGCCCGATCGAACGTTGCCTCTACCCCCTCCCCTCTCTCTCTCTCTCGCGCGCGCGCGCGCAAACGCACGCACAGCGTGGCATCGATCGAAGAAAGGAAATAACCCGGAAGAAAAAAAGCAGAAAATGAACAGAAAAGAAAGAAAAAACTGAGCCCATCTACATACATACAATTAACACATCTTCATTCATGGCGGCCCGGACGTCTTTGAGACTCCATGCAATAAACAGCCTCATCTTCATCGATGGTGGTTTTAACATTCCACGCAACGAACAGCCCAATCCTCAGCGTCTTCAACCATCACGATGCAGAGCCCATTCTCCAGCAAGTGCTTCGCGACCACAAATCCGCACGAACTGCGCTCCAAAATGTACGCGTACTCGTGTGTGTGTGTGTGTGTGTGTGTGTGTGTGTGTGTGTGTGAGAGAGAGAGAGAGAGAGAGAGAGAGAGAGAGAGAGAGAGAGAGAGAGAGA